TACTATGCATATTTCACCAGTGTGGGTGTGCCATGACAGTCCTACTATGCATATTTCACCAGTGTGGGTGTGCCATGACAGTCCTACTATGCATATTTCACCAGTGTGGGTGTGCCATGACAGTCCTACTATGCATATTTCACCAGTGTGGGTGTGCCATGACAGTCCTACTATGCATATTTCACCAGTGTGGGTGTGCCATGACAGTCCTACTATGCATATTTCACCAGTGTGGGTGTGCCATGACAGTCCTACTATGCATATTTCACCAGTGTGGGTGTGCCATGACAGTCCTACTATGCATATTTCACCAGTGTGGGTGTGCCATGACAGTCCTACTATGCATATTTCACCAGTGTGGGTGTGCCATGACAGTCCTACTATGCATATTTCACCAGTGTGGGTGTGCCATGACAGTCCTACTATGCATATTTCACCAGTGTGGGTGTGCCATGACAGTCCTACTATGCATATTTCACCAGTGTGGGTGTGCCATGACAGTCCTACTATGCATATTTCACCAGTGTGGGTGTGCCATGACAGTCCTACTATGCATATTTCACCAGTGTGGGTGTGCCATGACAGTCCTACTATGCATATTTCACCAGTGTGGGTGTGCCATGACAGTCCTACTATGCATATTTCACCAGTGTGGGTGTGCCATGACAGTCCTACTATGCATATTTCACCAGTGTGGGTGTGCCATGACAGTCCTACTATGCATATTTCACCAGTGTGGGTGTGCCATGACAGTCCTACTATGCATATTTCACCAGTGTGGGTGTGCCATGACAGTCCTACTATGCATATTTCACCAGTGTGGGTGTGCCATGACAGTCCTACTATGCATATTTCACCAGTGTGGGTGTGCCATGACAGTCCTACTATGCATATTTCACCAGTGTGGGTGTGCCATGACAGTCCTACTATGCATATTTCACCAGTGTGGGTGTGCCATGACAGTCCTACTATGCATATTTCACCAGTGTGGGTGTGCCATGACAGTCCTACTATGCATATTTCACCAGTGTGGGTGTGCCATGACAGTCCTACTATGCATATTTCACCAGTGTGGGTGTGCCATGACAGTCCTACTATGCATATTTCACCAGTGTGGGTGTGCCATGACAGTCCTACTATGCATATTTCACCAGTGTGGGTGTGCCATGACAGTCCTACTATGCATATTTCACCAGTGTGGGTGTGCCATGACAGTCCTACTATGCATATTTCACCAGTGTGGGTGTGCCATGACAGTCCTACTATGCATATTTCACCAGTGTGGGTGTGCCATGACAGTCCTACTATGCATATTTCACCAGTGTGGGTGTGCCATGACAGTCCTACTATGCATATTTCACCAGTGTGGGTGTGCCATGACAGTCCTACTATGCATATTTCACCAGTGTGGGTGTGCCATGACAGTCCTACTATGCATATTTCACCAGTGTGGGTGTGCCATGACAGTCCTACTATGCATATTTCACCAGTGTGGGTGTGCCATGACAGTCCTACTATGCATATTTCACCAGTGTGGGTGTGCCATGACAGTCCTACTATGCATATTTCACCAGTGTGGGTGTGCCATGACAGTCCTACTATGCATATTTCACCAGTGTGGGTGTGCCATGACAGTCCTACTATGCATATTTCACCAGTGTGGGTGTGCCATGACAGTCCTACTATGCATATTTCACCAGTGTGGGTGTGCCATGACAGTCCTACTATGCATATTTCACCAGTGTGGGTGTGCCATGACAGTCCTACTATGCATATTTCACCAGTGTGGGTGTGCCATGACAGTCCTACTATGCATATTTCACCAGTGTGGGTGTGCCATGACAGTCCTACTATGCATATTTCACCAGTGTGGGTGTGCCATGACAGTCCTACTATGCATATTTCACCAGTGTGGGTGTGCCATGACAGTCCTACTATGCATATTTCACCAGTGTGGGTGTGCCATGACAGTCCTACTATGCATATTTCACCAGTGTGGGTGTGCCATGACAGTCCTACTATGCATATTTCACCAGTGTGGGTGTGCCATGACAGTCCTACTATGCATATTTCACCAGTGTGGGTGTGCCATGACAGTCCTACTATGCATATTTCACCAGTGTGGGTGTGCCATGACAGTCCTACTATGCATATTTCACCAGTGTGGGTGTGCCATGACAGTCCTACTATGCATATTTCACCAGTGTGGGTGTGCCATGACAGTCCTACTATGCATATTTCACCAGTGTGGGTGTGCCATGACAGTCCTACTATGCATATTTCACCAGTGTGGGTGTGCCATGACAGTCCTACTATGCATATTTCACCAGTGTGGGTGTGCCATGACAGTCCTACTATGCATATTTCACCAGTGTGGGTGTGCCATGACAGTCCTACTATGCATATTTCACCAGTGTGGGTGTGCCATGACAGTCCTACTATGCATATTTCACCAGTGTGGGTGTGCCATGACAGTCCTACTATGCATATTTCACCAGTGTGGGTGTGCCATGACAGTCCTACTATGCATATTTCACCAGTGTGGGTGTGCCATGACAGTCCTACTATGCATATTTCACCAGTGTGGGTGTGCCATGACAGTCCTACTATGCATATTTCACCAGTGTGGGTGTGCCATGACAGTCCTACTATGCATATTTCACCAGTGTGGGTGTGCCATGACAGTCCTACTATGCATATTTCACCAGTGTGGGTGTGCCATGACAGTCCTACTATGCATATTTCACCAGTGTGGGTGTGCCATGACAGTCCTACTATGCATATTTCACCAGTGTGGGTGTGCCATGACAGTCCTACTATGCATATTTCACCAGTGTGGGTGTGCCATGACAGTCCTACTATGCATATTTCACCAGTGTGGGTGTGCCATGACAGTCCTACTATGCATATTTCACCAGTGTGGGTGTGCCATGACAGTCCTACTATGCATATTTCACCAGTGTGGGTGTGCCATGACAGTCCTACTATGCATATTTCACCAGTGTGGGTGTGCCATGACAGTCCTACTATGCATATTTCACCAGTGTGGGTGTGCCATGACAGTCCTACTATGCATATTTCACCAGTGTGGGTGTGCCATGACAGTCCTACTATGCATATTTCACCAGTGTGGGTGTGCCATGACAGTCCTACTATGCATATTTCACCAGTGTGGGTGTGCCATGACAGTCCTACTATGCATATTTCACCAGTGTGGGTGTGCCATGACAGTATTCCTAGCCATGACGAGTCCTGCCGTTGTCCCTACTTAATCTCCCCTTTTCTGGTTGGCAGGGCTGGAAAAAACTACTACTTAGTGTTTAAGATTCCTATGGACAATATCAAGTCGGGGGGGTCTTTTCCTTTCTACAAAACGTTACCGTCTGGTAGTTCGTGTTTTGAAGGCGGAGCACATTCAGCGGAGGGCGCGGCACGCATTCCATGGAAAAACATAACAACCAAGGCGGGTGGCAAGCTCAAGCGTTACAGCTTCATGATGTCATCAATAGTGGGGAAAGTGACATCAGAGGCAACCCTCAAAGAGACCGTTCAGTCATTTTATGCAGAACTTGCTTCAGGTCCTGTTATTGTGTCTCATCCAAATAACAACTATGCACTCTGTGGGAACAATAAGAAGTGACTTTCTAAATGTTGTTGCTAAGTGTTGTACGAGGCAGTTTTTTGTAGTTAATGAGGGCGTGTTTCTGTGGCCCCTTCTCAGGCTAACCTCTCATCAGACTTTGTCCTTGCGACCGATATCGTTATAGACACCGCTTTTTTAGGCTTGAAAAGTAACATTGCTGGGCGATGAATTGGTCACGCAAAAATCATTCACACGTAATGTTTCAGCGAGCCATGGTCAGGCAATTGCCCAAAGCACGTGTAAAAGGGCCCTGATTTGTCTGGTATGAAGCACGCGAGCATTTTCCGCCAAACACATGTTTTTCTGGACTCACGGAAACTTGTTACTACCGGTAGTTTGGCACTTTTCGGGTGGAGGGGAACACAAGATCTGGGCGCAAATGCCTATGTAAGAATGCATGTACCCACCCCACTCAGATAACCTAGTGACTGTTCAACCAAAGAAAGTACGTAAGGCTTTCACTTGTTCAGAGTACAGAAAATGATTCATACCATTACAACAAGCTACGGTACGGGCATGATAACTTGCAGAGTTAGCAAGAGGCCAGACATATAATACAACAACGTGCCACACGGCATTCCTCATGCATGCAGCCGTGGCTTGGATTGGATCCATAACCAGCAGCAGCAGCAGCAGCAGCAGCAGCAGCAGCAGCAGCAGCAGCAGCAGCAGCAGCAGCAGCAGCAGCAGCAGCAGCAGCGACATACTGTATTCAATTCTGCCTCTCCTGCGTGCCGTACAGCACATACGGTATCTACCGTAAGACACCTCAAAACTAGGAACAGCTGAGGGACCCCCAGACCGGACCAAAAGGTCCTCAGGCGACCCAACGATCTCCCACCCACCCAGCCTACGGTACTGCCAAAGCACTCCGGCCCAAAGAGCCCCGCACGTGCAGTCTGAGCCCAAAGAGCACCGCACCGCACGTGCTGGGTGCCTTCTGAAACGACACACAAGTCAGTCAGTCGCTGGTTGATTTTGCACCGGCAGCCTTGCTGGTGCTTCAGTCTCTCACTTCTTCTTCCTCCCCTTGGGTTTCTTCACACATGACTGCTTATCTTCTGTCTGCACATACCCACTGTCACATACGCAGTTCGGATCCACCCCCACCCCCACCCCCACCCCCACCCCCACCCCCACCCTCCCCCTCCCCCATCTCTCCCCTCTTGGCAAACCAGGTGACTTCTGAGTTGACTCACGTGGAAGACACCCGGCAGGTACGGTAGGCCTCACTTCCTCTTCCGCCCCACCTTGGGTTTCTTCACGCACGACTGCTTGTCAGCTGTCTGAACATACCCCGCGTCACACAAACAGTTCGGATCCACCCCCACCCACCCCTTGGCAAACCAGTTCAGCCTCACTTCTTCTTCCGCCCCACCTTGGGTTTCTTCACGCACGACTGCTTGTCAGCTGTCTGCACATACCCCGCGTCACACAAACAGTTCGGGTCCACCCCCTTGGCAAACCAGCATGCCCCGTGCCCCCCGCACGGGTTCTCCCCTGCGTTGCAAAACCTCTTGCACGTGCTGGCAGCAACCTGGGTCTGCACCCTCCCGGCCTGGTAGCACGCGGACGTGTTGGAGTATGTGAGGCAGTTGTATGTAATGGAAGACTGGTAGAAGATGCCTCGGCGGGTCTGGTCTTGAGGACAGGAGGTGACGCCGCCGGCAGTGACGGAGGCAGGGCCGTAGAAGAAGTTGTGGTGGAGGTTGTATTGGCCGGCTGAAAGGATTGTTCCGTTCTTGAAGCCGGTTGGTAGAGGACCGGACAGCATGTTGTCGTGCAGGTTGCTGTTGTGAGAGGGGGAGGGGGGGGGGGGGGGGGGGAGGGTGAGGAAGGGCCGTAGAAGAAGTTGTGGTGCAGGTTGTACTGGCCGGCTGAGAGGATTGTTCCGTTCTTGAAGCCGGTTGGGAGCGGACCGGACAGCATGTTGTCGTGTAGGTTGCTGTTGGGGGGGTGGGCGGGGTAAGGGGAGCAACAGCAGAGCTAGGTTGGTTGGGGAAGTTGTGGTGCAGATTGACTGGCCGGCTGAGAGAATGGTTCCATTCTTGAAGCTGGTTGGTAGAGGGCCAGATAGCATGTTGTCGTGTTAATTGCTGCGAGGGGAAGCGGAGGGGTGGATGGGGGGTAGAAGAAGTTGTGGTGCAGGTTGTATTGGCCGGCTGACAGGATGGTTCCATTCTTGACGCCGGTTGGGAGCGGACCGGGCAGCATGCTGTCGTGGAGATTGCTGGTGGGGGGAGGAGGGAGGAAGGGGAGATGGTAGATGGGATTTTGTTGGAGTGGTGGTGCAGGCTGGCTGAGTGGAGAGATTATGTGCAGAAGAGTGAAGGGAGAGTGGAGAGGAGGAGAGGAGAAGTGAAGAGAGGGAATGAGAGACGATGTACAGCAGAGTGAGCTTACAGAAGGTTTAGTTTGGGCAGAGAGAGGATGCCTCGAGGAAGGGAGCCGTAGAGATCGTTGCTCTCGAGGTAGCTGATAGAGGGTGGGGGAAGGTGGCATGCGAGTGGATGAATATGGTGGGAAGAAATGATTATGTTTTGGGATGAGATATGGTGTAGAGGTGACAAATGTGGTGTGAGACATGCGGTGAGAGCGCGCATGGCATGAGGCAGCATGGCGTGAGGCAGCATGGCGTGAGGCAGCATGGCGTGAGGCAGCATGGCGTGAGGCAGCATGGCGTGAGGCAGCATGGCGTGAAACACACCAGTTCACTGTTGACTCAGTGGAGCAAGGCAGCAGAAGAGGGACTGATGTGATGCAGCACAGCAGCGGAGGGACTCAGTGTACCAATGACTACTCATGGAGCGGCAGGGGAAGCACTCACAGCACGGTGAGCTCTTTGAGACGGCTGATGCCGTCCGGGATGGTGCCTGTGAGCTGGCCGTTGTCCAACAGACTGAGGGGCGCAAGGGGTGAGGGGGAAGGAGGAAGGGGGGAGTGGGGAGAAGGAAGGGGGACGGGGAATGGGGGAGGGGGAGTGGGGAGGGGGTAATGGAAATGGAAGGAAAAGGTTAAAGAAGGAAGGCAAGGGGGGGGAATGTACTGGATGCATGAAATCAGGTAGAGAAAGGCAGATCTGCAGAACGGTGAGCAGAAGGCCTTGTCATGGCATGGCATGGCATGGCATGGCATGGTGTGGCGGGGCATGGCGTGCCATGTTATGGCATGGCATGGTATGATATAGTTGTGACGGATGAAACATGGTGAGCTCAGTATGGTCCATGTGTGCATGCCACATGGTGCCACACGGTGCAAAACAGTGCCACATTGTGCTACACGGTGCCACACGGTGCTACATGGTGCCACACGGTGCGTACATGCGTGAGAGTTTGGTGAGCTTGGAGATGGTTGCAGGAATGGTGCCATTCAAGGGCACAAACTCTGCCACCCTGCGGTGAGGAGCGGTGGGGAAGGGTGTGAGGAGGGAGGAGCAAGAGGAGAAAAGTTTGGGGAGAAGTGAAGAAGGTGAGAAGATGCAGGTTGTGTGCGGTGCAGCATGTATTAGCAGCAGCAACAGCAGCAGCAGTGCTGAAAAGATGTGAAACGGTGATGAGCGGTTGAGGAGCAGTGAGGCGCAGTGAGGAGCGGTGAGGAGCGGTGAGGAGGCGAGCACGTACAGGTCGGTGAGGCTCTTCATGTTGCCCAGGTTGGCAGGCAGAGTGCTTTCCAGATAGGGGTTGCTGCTGAAGAAGCTGTTACAGGGGGGGAGCGAGGGGAGAGAGGAGGAAAGAGGCACAAGAGATGAGTGAGCTCAATGCGTCTATGGACGTTGGGGGCTTACAGGAAACAAGTGAATGGGCAGAGGCGAGCAGGGATAAGAGAATGGGCAGAGGCAGTTGGGGGCTCACAGGATGGGCAGAGGCGGGTAGGTGGGGTGGGACTCACAGGATGTTGAGGTTGGTGAGACGCGTGAGGGCGATGGGGAGCGGACCGATGAAGCTGTTCTGATTGATGAACCTGCACGGAGGGAGGGAAAAGGTGGGGACGAGAGGGGCGAGAGGGGGGGAGAGAGTGAGAAGGGGAGCGGACCGATGAAGCTGTTTTGGTTGATGAAGCTGAGAGGCCACAGAAAGGCAGGTGGGGGTGCGAATGGGTGAGAAGCCGCAGAAAGTGAGGAGTGTGCGGATGGGGGGGAAGGGAGAGAGAGAGGGCAGGTCAGGTGTGGCGTGGCGGTGTGAAAGGCATTTCGGTGATGTGAGGTATGGGAGATGTCATTCCAGTCGACTTATGGTGGGAGGCATGGTGATAGGCATGGTGGGAGGCATGGTGGGAGGCATGGTGGGAGGCATGGTGGGAGGCATGGTGATAGGCATGGTGGGAGGCATGGTGATAGGCATGGTGGGAGGCATGGTGGGAGGCATGGTGATAGGCATGGTGGGAGGCATGGTGGGAGGCATGGTGATAGGCATGGTGGGAGGCATGGTGGGAGGCATGGTGGGAGGCATGGTGATAGGCATGGTGGGAGGCATGGTGGGAGGCAAGGTGGGAGGCATGGTGGGAGGCATGGTGGGAGGCATGGTGGGAGGCATGGTGGGAGGCATGGTGGGAGGCATGGTGGGAGGCATGGTGGGAGGCATGGTGATAGGCATGGTGGGAGGCATGGTGGGAGGCATGGTGATAGGCATGGTGGGAGGCATGGTGGGAGGCAAGGTGGGAGGCATGGTGGGAGGCATGGTGGGAGGCATGGTGGGAGGCATGGTGGGAGGCATGGTGGGAGGCATGGTGGGAGGCATGGTGGGAGGCATGGTGGGAGGCATGGTGGGAGGCATGGTGGGAGGCATGGTGGGAGGCATGGTGGGAGGCATGGTGATAGGCAGGCATGGTGGGAGGCATGGTGGGAGGCATGGTGGGAGGCATGGTGGGAGGCATGGTGGGAGGCAAGGTGGGAGGCATGGTGGGAGGCATGGTGGGAGGCATGGTGGGAGGCATGGTGGGAGGCATGGTGGGAGGCATGGTGGGAGGCATGCCCCCCCCCGTACAGCACATGGCCATGTGCAAATGCCCGAACCCCCCCCCACGCCACGTACAGTGAGGTGTATTTTGAGGCGCCTCAAAATGCCCGAACCCCCCCCATGCCACGTACAGGTTGGTGAGCGGCATGATGGTGCCGATGCTGGATGGCAGGCTGGTGAACTTGCAAGTATAAATGCACATGTGCGTCTGTGCCAATGCACATGTGCGTCTGTGCCAATGTGCATGTGCGTCTGTGCCAATGTGCATGTGCGTCTGTGCCAATGCACATGTGCGTCTGTGCCAATGTGCATGTGCGTCTGTGCCAATGCACATGTGCGTCTGTGCCAATGTGCATGTGCGTCTGTGCCAATGCACATGTGCGTCTGTGCCAATGTGCATGTGCGTCTGTGCCAATGTGCATGTGCGTCTGTGCCAATGCACATGTGCGTCTGTGCCAATGTGCATGTGCGTCTGTGCCAATGCACATGTGCGTCTGTGCCAATGCACATGTGCGTCTGTGCCAATGTGCATGTGCGTCTGTGCCAATGCACATGTGCGTCTGTGCCAATGTGCATGTGCGTCTGTGCCAATGCACATGTGCGTCTGTGCCAATGTGCATGTGCGTCTGTGCCAATGTGCATGTGCGTCTGTGCCAATGCACATGTGCGTCTGTGCCAATGCACACGTGCGTCTGTGCCAATGTGCATGTGTGCATGCAGCACGCCCATGCAGCACGCCCATGCAGCACGCCCATGCAGCACGCCCATGCAGCACGCCCATGCAGCACGCCCATGCAGCACGCCCATGCAGCACGCCCATGCGCACGTACAGGTTGGTGAGCGGCATGATGGTGCCGATGCTGGACGGCAGCACACCGTCAAACTTGTTCGTGTCTGTGTACCTGGTGGTGGGTGGTTGAGGGGATGCGGCGGAGAGGGGAGGGGCGGTGGGAGGTGGGAGAAGGGGCGCAAGGTTAGCGCCTTGTCTGTGTCCATCTACCTGATAAGGAGAGGGAAGGGGAGGAGGGGAGGAGCGGAGGAGGGGAGGAGCGGAGGAGGGGAGGAGCGGAGTAGGGGAGGAGCGGAGGGAGGACACAGGTAGGTATGCCAGGGGGGGCGAGAGTCGTGGGTTGACGCGTGGCAGGCACCATGGAAGGTGGAAATCACTCTGCACAGCAGGGTAACGTGTGATGCAGAGTGGTGCAGAGTGGTGGAGGGTGGTGGAGAGCGGTGCAGGTGTATTTTGAGCTCACATGTAGTTGAGGTTCTTGAGCCGGCCGAGGCAGCTCGACACGGGCCCTGTGAAGCGATTGGCGCTCAGGCGGCTGGAAGAGGGGGTGGGGGAAGCGGGGGAGAGGTGGGGGGGAGGGGTTCTAGACCGAGGCAGCTCGACACGGGCCCTGTGAAGCGATTGGCGCTCAGGCGGCTGGGGGGGGAGGAGGGGAGGAAAGGGGAGGGGAGGAGGGGATGGGGGGTACAGAAGCAGATGAAAAACAGGTCAACAGGTCAACGGAGTCAATGCGGTCAACAGGATCAACGGGATGGTATGAAGTGGGAAGGTGAGCGAGGTGGGAAGATGAGCGAGGTGGGAAGATGAGCGAGGTGGGTGTGGGCTCAGGACTGACAGCTGGCGCAGGTTGGTCATGGTGCAGACGACCGTTGGGAAGGTGGAGTTGAGCAGGTTGCTGGGTACATAGCTGCCATGCACGGAGGGCGGGCGGGTGAGGAGGGCGGAAGGGCGGATGGGGAGGGGGAAAGGAGGGGGTGTGGGCGGGGGGATGAGAGGACAAGACGAGGAGGAGTTGAGCAGGTTGCTGGACACATAGCTGCCATGCACGGAGGGCGGGAGGAGGGGGTGGTGGTGAGGAGGGGGATGAGGAGGGGGGATGAGGAGGGGGGATAGGAGGACAAGGAGGAGTGGAGTTGATACGGGTGGGGAATACGAGGGGCTGGGGGGAGTGCATTCATCATGGTGCAATCGTCCATATGGCATGCGAATCACGCTGAGGCACACGCTGAGGCACACGGTGAGGCACAGTGCATGGGCAGGGGGGGACTGGGCATGAAGGGACTCACAACTTCTGCATGTTGACGAGGTTGGAGAAGGTGTCTGGTATGCCTCCCGTGAGGTAGTTGAGGTTCAGATGCCTGCGAGCCATGCAGCCGTGCACACACACACGCACGCATGCACGCACGCACACACGCACGCATGCACGCACGCACACACGCACGCACGCACGCACGCACACACGCACGCACACACGCACGCATGCACGCACGCACGCACGCACACACGCACGCACGCACGCACAGGCACACGCGGGCGCACAGGGACACATGGAAAGGGAAAGAGAGGGCAATGATGGGCGTGTGAGGGGGGTGGATGCGAGGCACGGGGAAGAGAAGCAGCTCTGGTCGCATCACCATGCCAACCCCTCTCCTCCCTCCCCTTCCACTGGTCACATCACCATACCACCCACTCTCTCCTCTTCCACTGGTCACATCACCATACCACCCCCTCTCCTCCCTCCCCTTCCCAAGAAGGCTTGTACGCCGAAACCGGTTACCTCACGATACCACAATGGCGCCTAACTGGTGTCCTCTTCCACTGGTCACATCACCATACCACCCCCTCTCTCCTCTTCCACTGGTCACATCACCATACCACCCCCTCTCCTCCCTCCCCTTCCCAAGAAGGCTTGTACGCCGAAACCGGTTACCTCACGATACCACAATGGCGCCTAACTGGTGTCCTCTTCCACTGGTCACATCACCATACCACCCCCTCTCTCCTCTTCCACTGGTCACATCACCATACCACCCCCTCTCTCCTCTTCCACTGGTCACATCACCATACCACCCCCTCTCCTCCCTCCCCTTCCCAAGAAGGCTTGTACGCCGAAACCGGTTACCTCACGATACCACAATGGCACCTAACTGGTGTCCTCTTCCACTGGTCACATCACCATACCACCCCCTCTCCTCCCTCCCCTTCCCTAACACTCACAGTTGGTACAAGCTGGTCATGTCACGTTACCATACATCCTCCCCTCAGGCCCCCCCTCACACCCTCTCACCCCGTCTTTCTCCCGTTAAACTCACAGCTGGTAGAGGCTGGTCATGCCAGTCACGTCACACTATAGTCACATCATCACACACACCCCTTCCGTCTCCCGTTAGACTCACAGCTGGTACAGGCTGGTCATGCGCCCCATGGAAGCAGGGATGGTGCCGTTGAGAAAGTTCTGATACAGCTGCCTGTGAGGGGGAGTGGGGGTTGGGAGAGAGGGGGGAGGGAGGTAATGGACAGAGAGAGGGAAGGGGGCAGATATGTGCGAGGCGACAGCGGTTGGAGGCTGGTCTTGCGCCCCATGGAAGCAGGGATGGTGCCGTTGAGAAAGTTCTGATACATCTGCCTGTGAGGGGGGGGGGGGAGCGGGGAGAGGGCAGGGGGAGCGTCCGGGGTTGGGGTGGGAGAGGGTGGGGAGGTTAAGAGCGGAAAATAAGGGCGTGAGGAAGAGACGGAACGTGAGGGAAAGGGTTTGGAGTGATGCAGAGGGCAGGGGGAGTCGGCAGACGGCGGTACAGCGGGCCTTGCGTGCGGGGCGTGCGGGGCGTGCGGGGAGTGCGGGGCGTGCGGGGAGTGCGGGGCGCGCGGGGCGTGCGGGGCGTGCGGCGAATGGGGGGCGTGCGGCGCATGGGGGGCGTGCGGCGCATGGGGGGCGTGCGGCACATGGGGGGCGTGCGGGGCGTGCAGGGCGGGCGGGGCAGGGAAGGGAGGCACTGACAGGTTCTTGAGGTTGACGAGGTTGCTGAAGGAGTCGGGAATATCGCCGTAGATCCAATTCTTCACCGCGAAGCTGGTGAGGGGGAGGGGGAGGCGAGGGGAGGGGCGAGAGGCATGGGGTAAAAGACAGTTGAGAGAGAAGGCATGGGTGCATGCGAGAGGGAATGTGGCCGTGTGTACCGCGAAGCTGATTGCACGGGGCGGCCCGCACAGGGCCGCACACAAGGGGCGAGAAACATAAGGAAAATACAGCGGGGAGAAGGCATGGGCAGTGATGCGATGTGATGTGATGTGATGCGATGTGATGTGATGTGATGTGATGGGATGTGATGTGATGTGATGTGATGTGATGTGATGTGATGTGATGTGATGTGATGGGACCGGGGAGAGGCACGAAGGCAAATTAAGAAGCGGTGGCGGGGGCGGCAGCAGCGGCAACGGCGGCGGCGGCGGCGGCGGGTGAGGAGGAGGGACTCACAATTCCTCCATCTGGGTAAGCGCGCCGATGGCGGAGGGCAGCGTGGCGAAGAGCTCCTGGTAACTCATCTCCATGCGACGGATGTAGCCGTTCGTCCAGCACTGCACGAGCTGCCACGTGGAGCACGGATTGGTGGCCACCCACGTGGACAGATCCGCCGTCTTCCCCCACACGGCCTTGAGCTCCATCATCGGCGCAACTGGCGGGGGAGGGGGAAGGGGGGGGGGCGGGGGAGAGAAGAGGGGGAGAAGGGAGGGAGGTGGGAACGAGGGAAGGGGAGAAGAGGAATGAAATGCGGCCGAGAGGGAGCGAGGCGGGAGGGTTGCTGAGAATAGCCGAGGGACGGATGAAGGGCGGACGGAGAGGAAGAGCAGGGCGAGCGGAAAGGTAAGAGCCCTGCATGCGCTCTGAGAGCGGGAAGAGCGGCAGTCATACTCTGGGGGCTGTGCAAATAGACGGGCGGAGCAGTGAATGTGTGACAATAAATCGAAGTGACTGTGAGTAAGTCGACTATAAAGAGCGGTTCTCGTACTCTGAGAGCTGTGCACGGGAAGAGCAGGAAAGTGTGTGACAATAAGCCGAAGTGACTTAAAGCGAGTCGACTGTAAAGAGCGGCAGTCATACTCTGGGAGCTGTGCAAGTAGACGGGCGCTCCCTTGGGAGTCACTCCCTTCGTCGTCACCCTCCCCCTCCCCCCTTCCCCTCCCCCTCCCGCTCCCCCTGCCCCTCCCCCTCCCTCTCCTCCCTCCTCCTCCGCTATAAAGTCTTCTACAGGCTCCTCCGCTGCTGCTACTATCGAGTCCACGTATGTCGGGTCCGTCACGATCGGCAGCGTGTCCCGCTTCGGTACTTGCAGCCCCGGGGGTAGTTTGGTTTCACGGGGATCTGTCAGCAGCCCGTCAATGATTGACTGACGGTCGGACGGGTTGACGGATTCTGGCAGCGGGTCAGTCAAGTAGACGGGTCCCATCTCGGAGGATGGCGAAGGGGCGGGTGCTGGCGCAACGCGAATGGCGATTGCTGGCGACGTGAGAAGGGAAACAAGCGCGGCGAAGAGAACTATCTGACGCAGGGTAACCCGACTTCGCGAATGCGCGACTATTGTCGCCATGTCTAGATGCACGAACTGGGCATGCGACGCTCGCAAAACTCGTGTTGCTCTTTCCCTAAGACCCGGCGCTCGTGACGGCACTCACTAGCCGTTCGCAGGTCAGCAAGAGTGTCGTTCTCCTTTGATCTGATCCCAAACCCTCTGTTGTCAATGCTCCTGTGTCAACGCCTCTGTACTTTCAAGCCACTTCTAGCGCGCACGCCCCAAGGTTCGGCAGTCGGAGGGGCACGCGGGACGGCTGCTGGCGCACTACAGAGGACTATTATACAGTGCTATCGCCGTGCTTTCTCGAGTCGACTCAAAAATCAACATAGGACTACTGTACTAGACTATTGCCGTGCTTTGGAGGTTGTTGATTGAGAGAACGGAGATGATCGGCTGGTAGAATGCAGATGCAGGTGTACGCAGGAAGGAAAGTAGGCGCAGCAATAGCAAGGACGGCCAAGCTGCTGCCAGTAGATCCGCCTTTGAGGAACAGTCTCGTGCACTATTGCGCAGCTGCTTGTAGCGAGAGCGGTTGTTACGGAAATTCGGATAAAGTCGGTGCATAGAGGACGGATGTAATCGCATGTCTCGTGTTCCACCTTTCCCTTCCCAAAGGTGTACGCGCAGTGCAACCAAAGGGCGGTTGGTGGTGCGAATTGGGTCATTTACACCCCCCACCTCCCCCTCATCCCCGCGCGAGGGCCAGAAGTCAGTGCGGCTGGTTGGTGGAGGTTGTTGGGTTGCGGGGCGGGCTCAATGGGGCGAAATCGACGGCGAAAGCGGAACTTCAGGAGAAATTGCTGGTTGCTGTTGGGTTACTCAACCCGCCCGTCACCTGCGTGATCATTTGCTGTGGCGCGATGTTGCCACGTTAGCCGTGCTTCGATGCGACGCGACAACATGATGAGCATCATGATGTGTTTCCCGCGCCAGCCCTGCACCGTGCTCCGTGTCCTACCTCCACACACCGCCACCGCGCCGTCGGAAACGCATGTACTGTAGCGCAACATGCGCTGTGCTGTCGAGCAGTTGGAAATGTATTTCATGTCGGTGCTGTCCGGTCTGTTGTTGTGTGAGTTGATCTGGAGGTGTGATTGTTTCAGTCCCCAGCAGGTGGCACAGTGTGTAGTGTTCATGATTGCACACCTGAGGCCCAGGTTACTTTTCACCTGACATGTAGCGCGTACACCACATTAAACCATCCGCTAACGTACGGGGAACAGCAACTAAAATGCAATATGCTATAAATCTCTTCCATTTTCACAGGAAATACAGCTTTACTACCTATAAAACATAAATAATCAGCTACTAAGACTCATCAAAGGAGCCGGTACAGGTGCAGGGACGCAAGACTGCTTGTCAACTGTCGGCAAATATCCAACATCGCAGTCACACGAAGGGTTCCTTCCGGGACCAAACCAGCACGATCCATGCCCCCCGCAAGTTGCCACATCAGCGCCGCAAAACCTCTTACACGTGGAATTTGCCACCTGCTTCTCAACCTTGTTTGCCAGCACGCACGGACTCCCCGGCGGATCCTTCAAGCAATTATATGCCAAGGAAGACTGGTAGAAAATCCCGCGGCGAGTTTGATCCGTGGGGCATTTGGTAACCGTACCGGCGGTTACAGACGCAGTTCCGTAGAAGAAGTTGTGGTGCAGGTTGTACTGGCCGGCTGTGAGCAGTGTGCTGTTGAGGAATCCTGTAGGGAGCGGACCGGAGAACTGGTTGTCGTGTAGGTTGCTGGTTTGGGGGGTGGCACAAATGGGGCACAGGTGGTGGAACGCAGGTGGTATGCATGCATATGCGATACAGTACAGGACATCTGGAGTGAGTTGTCAAGCGAGGAGAACACGCGGACGCATGTAACCAAAAAAATGGAGGAATAGGAAGTGGTTGCAGAGATAAGACTGGTTTGAGAGTTTAGTCGGGTTTGAGAGCCGAAGCAGTGGACAAATGTGACAGTAGGAAGAGTGAGACCAGGAGGAGTGGAAGGACTTACACGAGTGAGAGCTGAGGAAGCTGCAGGATGCCAGAGGGGAAACTTCCGTAGAAGCGGTTGCCCTCCAAGTAACTGAGAGGGGTTGTGTGAGAGTGAGGAGGAGCGAACAGGGGAGGAGAGAGCGCACGAGAGGAGAGAGTGTGGGAGGTTATGCATTTGTGCTCTGACATGCCAGGAAGCCTTGGGAGAGTGGGAGTGCCAAACAAAGGAGGAGCAAATTAGTGAGCGAGTGAAAGGCGAGTAAGTCCATTCCCTTGAGAACTTTCACCAAAAAGCATCATACCAGCGCAGTTATGCAGCACGGTTTTTTTGTCGACTAAAAATTCGTTCTAAACACGGGCTTACAGCACGGTGAGCGCCTTGAGGTTGCTGATGCCCTGTGGGATGGAGCCCGTGAAGCGACAGTTGTCCATCAGACTGCGGTGAGGGAAGAGGGGGGATGGAAAACGGGGAGGGTGAAGGGAAAAGGAAGGTGACATGGAGCCGGTGAAGCGACAGTTGTCCATCAGACTGGGGTGATGGAGGTGGGGGGAACACTGAAGCATGTTGGTGGTGCAGAGGGGCATGGCATGGCATAGCATGGCATGGCATAGCATGGCATGGCATAGCATGGCATGGCGGGGCAGAGAAGGGGTTTACATGCAGGAGAGGCGAGAGAGAGGGGACAGGTAGGGGCAGGGCAGGGCAGGAAGGGGGTTTACATGCGGGAGAGGCGAGAGAGAGAGGACAGGTAGGGGGCAGGGCAGGGCAGGAAGGGGGTTTACATGCGCGAGAGTCGAGTGAGCTTGGTGATGGAATCAGGCATGGTGCCGTTGAAGGCTGCAAACTCCATTACGCTGGAAGGCAGTGTGGGGAGGAGGGAAGGAGGGAGGCGGAGGAGAGGGGTGAGAGGGAAAGCAGGGGCAAGAGATGGGTAGGCGGGGGAAAATAGGACTAGGGGAGAGGGAGAAGCGGAGAAAGAGATGAGATTACAACCTGTGCTTGTCACACGGTGCCATGACTCTGTTGAAGCGAATGGGAGAGCGACAATCTAAGCATTGCATTGCTGGGCACTCACAAGTCGGTGAGGCTGACCATGTTGCCCAGGTCTGATGGCAGCGTGTGCATGTAACATGTGCACTACCGGGCAATGTTTTAGGCGCCTCAAACACAACTGGGCACGGGCCGTCCAGGCACTCACAAGTCGGTGAGGCTGACCATGTTGCCCAGGTCTGCCGGCAGAGGGCCGTCCAGATAGGGATTGCTGCTCATGAAGCTGATGGGGGGGGGGGGGGGGGGGGGGGGGGGGGGGGGGGGAGAACGGGAGGAAAGGGGGGTTGAAGAGGGAAGCAAGAGAGGAGGCAAGGCTAAGGCCGTCCAGATAGGGGTTGCTGCTCATGAAGCTGATTGGGGGGGGGGGGGATTGGGTGTGAAGCGAGAGACACGACTGTGGGAATGGTGAGGTAAGGGTTCCCGGAACGAGGGCATGACAAGGAACGAGAGGACGGGAAGGGGAGAGAGAAGAGCGAGTGCAGGGGAGAGCAGGAGGCTGACTGACAGGATGCGCAGGTTGGTGAGGGAGGTGATGGTGGCGGGCAGAGGGCCGCTGAGACTGTTCTGATTGATGAACCTGCACGAGTGGTGTGGAGCAGGGGCAGCGGCAAAGGCAGCCGCAGGAGTGCGTGGTGTGAGGCAGGGGGGAGGAAGAAGGCAGGGAACAGGGGAGAACTGCAGGTAACAGGTAGGTGAGGGGAGGGCAGGACCTTTGGCAAGGAGGCACGAAACTGAGCGCCCCCTAACGAGGCAAGGCACGATGGGCACAGCACACTTACAGGTTCTGCAGCATGGGCAGATCTCCTATGGTGCTGGGGAGAGTGCCGGTGAACCAGTTGGTGTCTATGTAGCTGGTGGGGGGATGGTGAGGGACGGAGAGGGAAGGGCAGTGGGGAGGAAAGGTCAAGAGGAAGAGGGTATGGGGAAGAGATGGCGGGTTCTGCAGCATGGGCAGGTCGCCTATGGTGCTGGGGAGAGTGCCGGTGAACCAGTTGGTGTCTATGTAACTGAGGGGAAGGGGGGACACGTGGGGATGGGCATGGGGATGAGAGGTCGGGGTAAGAGAGGACATGGGAGGAGAGGGGGGGCGAGGGCGACTAGGCAGGGTGGTGGTTGCAGGGGGCGTAGCGCAAGGGCAGCTGCAACTTACAGACACCGGATGTTGTTTATCACTTACAGATAGTAGGCGTTCTTGAGATTGCTGATGCACTCCGGTACAGTGCCGGAGAAGTGATTGTAGCTGATGCGCCTGTAGTGAAAGGGCGCAGTGAAAAGGGGGTGAGAGGGGTAGGGATGGGCTGGGCATGTGCAGGCAGGCTGCTCGATTGCTTGCTTTGCTCCCAAGTCAAGAGCATCTCCTATCCTATCGTAACGGTGCGAAACATTCGCTGATTCCCATGGGACTTCTCTGCAGTAAGGCGAGGTGCAAAGGAAGCATGTGAAGCTTCCAGAGGGTCGTCATGGTGCAGAGGAAGCAGAGTACGGCACAAGGGGGGAAACGGTCCCTGAGCCACCGGCAGCGCACTGCACGTCACAGCAGGTCACAGCAGGTCACAGCAGGTCCCAGCAGGTCACAGCAGGTCACAGCAGGTCACAGCAGGTCACAGCAGGTCACAGCAGGTCACAGCAGGTCACAGCAGGTCACAGCAGGTCACAGCAGGTCACAGCAGGTCACAGCAGGTCACAGCAGGTCACAGCAAGTCACAGCAGGTCACAGCAGGTCACAGCAGGTCACAGCAGGTCACAGCAGGTCACAGCAGGTCACAGCAGGTCACAGCAGGTCACAGCAAGTCACAGCAGGTCACTGCAGGTCACAGCAGGTCACAGCAGGTCACAGCAGGTCACTGCAGGTCACTGCAGGTCACAGCAGGTCACAGCAGGTCACAGCAGGTCACAGCAGGTCACAGCAGGTCACAGCAAGTCACAGCAGGTCACTGCAGGTCACAGCAGGTCACAGCAGGTCACAGCAGGTCACTGCAGGTCACAGCAGGTCACAGCAGGTCACAGCAGGTCACAGCAGGTCACAGCAGGTCACAGCAGGTCACAGCAGGTCACAGCAGGTCACAGCAGGTCACAGCAGGTCACAGCAGGTCACAGCAGGTCACAGCAGGTCACAGCAGGTCACAGCAGGTCACAGCAGGTCACAGCAGGTCACAGCAGGTCACAGCAGGTCACAGCAGGTCACAGCAGGTCACAGCAGGTCACAGCAAGTCACAGCAGGTCACAGCAGGTCACAGCAGGTCACAGCAGGTCACAGCAGGTCACAGCAGGTCACAGCAAGTCACAGCAGGTCACTGCAGGTCACAGCAGGTCACAGCAGGTCACAGCAGGTCACTGCAGGTCACTGCAGGTCACAGCAGGTCACAGCAGGTCACAGCAGGTCACAGCAGGTCACAGCAGGTCACAGCAAGGTCACAGCAGGTCACAGCAGGTCACAGCAGGTCACAGCAGGTCACAGCAGGTCACAGCAGGTCACAGCAGGTCACAGCAGGTCACAGCAGGTCACAGCAGGTCACAGCAGGTCACAGCAGGTCACAGCAGGTCACAGCAGGTCACAGCAGGTCACAGCAGGTCACAGCAAGTCACAGCAGGTCACTGCAGGTCACAGCAGGTCACAGCAGGTCACAGCAGGTCACAGCAGGTCACAGCAGGTCACAGCAGGTCACAGCAGGTCACAGCAGGTCACAGCAGGTCACAGCAGGTCACAGCAGGTCACAGCAGGTCACAGCAGGTCACAGCAGGTCACAGCAAGTCACAGCAGGTCACTGCAGGTCACAGCAGGTCACAGCAGGTCACAGCAGGTCACTGCAGGTCACAGCAGGTCACAGCAGGTCACAGCAGGTCACAGCAGGTCACAGCAAGTCACAGCAGGTCACAGCAGGTCACTGCAGGTCACAGCAGGTCACAGCAGGTCACAGCAGGTCACTGCAGGTCACAGCAGGTCACAGCAGGTCACAGCAGGTCACAGCAGGTCACAGCAAGTCACAGCAGGTCACTGCAGGTCACAGCAGGTCACAGCAGGTCACAGCAGGTCACAGCAGGTCACAGCAGGTCACAGCAGGTCACAGCAGGTCACAGCAGGTCACAGCAGGTCACAGCAGGTCACAGCAGGTCACAGCAGGTCACAGCAGGTCACAGCAGGTCACAGCAAGTCACAGCAGGTCACAGCAGGTCACAGCAGGTCACAGCAGGTCACAGCAGGTCACAGCAGGTCACAGCAGGTCACAGCAGGTCACAGCAGGTCACAGCAGGTCACAGCAGGTCACAGCAGGTCACAGCAAGTCACAGCAGGTCACTGCAGGTCACAGCAGGTCACAGCAGGTCACAGCAGGTCACTGCAGGTCACAGCAGGTCACAGCAGGTCACAGCAGGTCACAGCAGGTCACAGCAGGTCACAGCAGGTCACAGCAGGTCACAGCAGGTCACAGCAGGTCACAGCAGGTCACAGCAGGTCCCAGCAGGTCACAGCAGGTCACAGCAAGGTCACAGCAGGTCACAGCAGGTCACAGCAGGTCACAGCAGGTCACAGCAGGTCACAGCAGGTCACAGCAGGTCACAGCAGGTCACAGCAGGTCACAGCAGGTCACAGCAGGTCACAGCAAGTCACAGCAGGTCACTGCAGGTCACAGCAGGTCACAGCAGGTCACAGCAGGTCACTGCAGGTCACAGCAGGTCACAGCAGGTCACAGCAGGTCACAGCAGGTCACAGCAGGTCACAGCAAGTCACAGCAGGTCACTGCAGGTCACAGCAGGTCACAGCAGGTCACAGCAGGTCACAGCAGGTCACAGCAGGTCACAGAAGAGCAGGCAGGCACGCTCTGAAGGGCACTCACAGCTCCCAGATGGTCGTCATGTTGCAGAGGACAGGGGGGAAGGGGCCTGAGCCAGCCACATTTGGCACCGTGCAGCATGGCACACAGTACCGCACAGTACCGCACAGCAGCGCAGGGCAGGCATGGTGAGAAGGGAAGAGCACTCACAGCTCCCAGAGGGTCGTCATGTTGCAGAGGACAGGAGGGAAGGGGCCTGAGAGCAGGTTGCTGGACACATAGCTGTTGGAAGGGCGGGGAAAGAGGGGAGGGGAAGGGGAAAGGGGAAGCCGCGAGGAGGAAGGGGGGAGATTGTAGGGAAAAGTGGGAAGCTGGAGTTGGGGAGTGGAGAGCTTTGAGATGCATCAAGAGCTTTTGGGACGCCTTACTGTCACGGCTGCAAGCAAGGCAGGCACGCTTCACAATTTGCGCATGTTGGTGAGATGGGAGAAATACTTAAGAATTTTGGACTGGTAAAGCAGTTGGTGGGAGGGGAAGGCAGCACTCACAATTTGCGCATGTTTGTAAGCTGGGAAAATGAATCCGGTATGCCTCCCGCGAGGTAGTTGAGGTTCAGGTGGCTGCGAGGAGTGAGGGACAGTACAGAGCGGTTTAAAACGGCTGAGAAGGGTGAGGTGCGAGGAGTCGTGGAAAACGGGAGGAGCAAGAGAAGCGGGAGGAGTGGGAGGGGGTTAGAATGGCAGGGAAGTATGCTGGAGCAGAGCACGGGATTGGAAGAGATTGGCAGTGGGGAGTTGAGGGTTAGGGCGTGTAACTTTTTCCGTTTTCGTCAAATGTCCGGACGGAGCCCCCAAAACGTCTGAACAGAGCTCCGTCCGGACGTTTGGGACTCAGGTCCGGACGAGAGCCCGTCTGGACCACAAATGTGGAACTTTTTGAAAACCCGAAATTTTTGAATTTCGTTTCAAAATGTAACAGGCATTACTGCAATCGTAAAGCGTCGTGAGGGCTCGCCTCCAAAAATTAGCGGGGTGGTATTGGGTGAGATTTTCAACAAATCGTGCGCCAATGACAGCGCAGAAAGATCGGACGGTCCGATATGCCGTTCGGACGGTGTCAGCAGGGTAGTCCGGACCAATTTTTGACAGATAAGTGTCAGACATGGTCCGTACGGTGGCGACGTCGCAGGGCGTCTCGCGAAGCCCTAACCGAGGTGCTGCGAAATCAGTTACCCTACAAATGTCCGGACGGGGCCTCCGTCCGGACGATGAAATGTGAAAAAGTTACACGCCCTTAGACTAGGGGCTGTCAGGAACCACGCGTGCATTGCACCCTCACTACACCCACAGCTGCTGCTACTCCCCCCACCACACTCACAGCCATCACTCTCGCTACGCACTCACAGCTGGTACAGGCTCCTCATGCTCCCCATGGAGGCCGGGATGGAGCCGTTTGAGTCGACTCAAAGGTCAGTTCAGTGCAACGGGACTCCCCTCGCCCCACACTCACAGCTGGTACAGGCTCCTCATGCTCCCCATGGAGGCCGGGATGGAGCCGTTTGAGTCGACTCAAAGGTCAGTTCATTGCAACGGGACTCCCCTTCGCCCCACACTCACAGCTGGTACAGGCTCCTCATGTTCCCCATGGAGGCCGGGATGGAGCCGTTTGGGTCGACTCAAAGGTCAGTTCATTGCAACGGGACTCCCCTCGCCCCACACTCACAGCTGGTACAGGCTCCTCATGCTCCCCATGGAGGCCGGGATGGAGCCGTTTGGGTCGACTCAAAGGTCAGTTCATTGCAACGGGACTCCCCTCGCAGGCGGAAGGGAAGGGGGAATGCATCAGCGCGGTGCACAACGCGGGGGTGAGGCGGAAGCGGAAAGGTGGGTGCAGTAAGTGCTGCAAAGGTGGGTAGCAGGAGGGTTGACCTGGCACTGGCAGTGCATGCGCGTGGTCTCAATGGCGCGGAGCGGGAAGGGGTCATTAGATCTTTGTTGTGATACGTATCAAAGCGTGGTTTCAGTGGCGCGCAGTGGGAACGGGTGGTTACGTTGTGACGGAGCCACGTAGACTGGCTTCGCGAGCGTGCCGACTTTGAAGGCGGAAGTCGCGGAGGCGGAGAGAACGACGAGCAATGCCGCGAGGAGCAACGCACGGAGCGGCAAGAAAACGCGGTCACGGCGCGCCGATACTGACCGCGGCCTTGAGAGGGATAGTATCGATGATTGCCTCATGGTGAGGGCCGGTGGAGAACGGTGAAGCAAAATCGGCGAAGAAGCCTTTTTGAATGAGAGGACGACGA